GCTTAACTGTTGTTGAGACTAAGCATCCTAGTTAATCTTCGGCTGTATTCGGAATACCCCTGTTTGTTGTTGAACATACAAATTCAGAAAAGCATAGCGTTGCTCATATTCTTCTCGATAACAAGAATTGTTAAAGAAATATGTCGGATATAAAATATGCTTTTCATTCTTGTCTACAGCTTGTGTTCGGCACATATTTCACTCCGACAAATGTTTACATAAATTGGAATGTTTTGGAATTTTTTTAAACTACCCAGTACCACATTTAGTGAAAATCTGCTCATGGAAGACGGAAGTACTGAAAGACAGCCGGACGAAGAGAGAAACGGAAGGCCAAAGCGAATTTAATAGGCGCTGCGCAGTGTTACCAACGGGCCAGAACACATATTTAGAGATTGGTAACACTGTATTTGTGCCCATACTGGAGTAAGCCAGGATTGCCATGGCAAAAGCTGCATTTAGCAAGAAGAAGAATCTTTTTACCAGCAAATTGGACTTAAATTTGAGGAAGAAACTAGTGAAATGCTACATTTGGAGCATAGCGCTGTAGGGGGCTGAAACATGGACACTTAGGGCAGTAGATCAGAAACATCTGGAAAGTTTCGAAATGTGGTGTTGGAGAAGAATGGAGAAGATCAGTTGGACCGATTATGTGAGAAATGAAGAAGTGTTAATTAGAGTCAGTGAGCAGAGGAATATCCTACATGAAATAAGAAAACGGAAGGCTAATTGGATTGGTCATGTTTTACGCAGAAACTGCCTTCTAAAAGAAGCTATCGAAGGAAAGATAGATGGGCGGATAGAAGTGACAAGAAGACGAGGAAGAAGACGTAAGAAGATGCTGGATGACCTTGGGGACAGAAGAGGATACTGTCATTTGAAGGAGAAAGCTCTAGATCGCATTAAGTGGAGGAATTGTTTTGAAAGAGACTGTGGACCTGTCGTCTTGACAGATTACTGATGATGATGATGATGATGACTGGAGTAAGGTACCTCAGTGTCTAAAACAAATGGCAGTTGCTTTTCGTTTCTAAGTTTTAGAAAAACTTGTTTAAATTCCTTCTTCTGGAAATGCTTGTTATTATTAATTTCGATTATTGTTATTGCCTTGCTTTAAAACGACGCTGAAAATGAGGATGTCAGTTATTTTGTATGGGTATGACGTGTGGCTGTGTTTGGAAACGAAGTGGCTAGGAAGATATTTGAACCTGAAAGGAAGATGTACGAGGTCAGAGGATTTTACGGCAGTGAAAATTTATAGTCTTGTTGGTGGTTGTTAACTTTTCATAGGAAACTATTACCTCCAACTACGAAGTTATTCAACGCTATGTAGTCTTGAGTTCATTTCAGCGTCGTCAAATAAGGTATAAATGATCAATGAA